ATGTGTGTTGTGGTTTTTCTTTTTTAAACTATTTTTTCAATTTTTTTTTGAGATCAAATTTGCTAAAATTCTCTCTCTCTTTCCTTCTCTGTGAATGTGTATGAGAGAAAAAGAAAAAGAAAGGGAGAAGAGGATGAAAGAAAAAAAAATCAGAAGATGAAGAAAAGAAATTAAATCTCTCTTTTTCGGTGGATGTGTATGAGAGGAGGAGAAAAAAAGGAAAATTTAAAAAAGCAAAAGAAGAAGAAAAGAATTTGAAAAATGTGGAAATAAATGAAAAAGAAGGATGGAGAAAGAAAGAAGGAATGAGATGAGATGATAGTTGATGTGATTGGATGATAATCATTCATTCTTGTGCCGTCATCTGTTAGTGTAATTGTTGGTGTCAAATAGTTCCTCACCCTCGTTCATTGGTATGCGTGGAATGTTTCCTCGGGAATGACGGGGGAGCATACAATGTATACACAAGTCGTTTCAATTTCAAAAATAGCAGGGAGAATGAATGGAAGAAGGGAAGAAATATCTGTGATAAATCTGAACATTGAAAACCATCATTATCTTTCCCGTTATTTCTTTCATAATAATTTCCCAAATGATAATTATTATCATATCATTTATCATTAATCATTCAATTATGCAATCAAATTGATGTAGCAAATTGTTTTCCTCATTCTTGCCTTCTTATAATCTGAAATCATTTAATTTCCATAATTCTATAATTGTAATTTATAACATAAATGTATTAAATTCATAATTATATCAATTATTTCATCTTTATATCACTTTTTTTTTTCTTCCCTCTTATTCGTTTCTTTCTTATAATATATACATCCTTTCATGAATTTCTTTTTCTTGTTATTTTAATCTTTTTATCATTCTCTCTTTCATATATTTTCTTTTTATAATTCTTTTCAAGATTATATTTCTTCCCATTCTTTTTTTCTTTTTTTTTATTACTTTCTTTAAATCTCTTTTAAATTACAGTATGTTATAAGTCTTAAGAATATTTCCCTAACACTTGCACACATTAAAAAATTCCAGTGTTTTATAAACAAAATATTTTCTTATTACTTACTTACTTATTCATTTTCTTAATTACTACTTACTTACTTATTTACTTACTCATGCTTACTCACTTGTTTGTTTGCTTCCATTCTCACTTAACACATGCTTAAATACGAATGAAGAAATGCTACGAAATGGCAAATTTTAAATTGAGAAAAAATTCCGAATTTATCAAATTCAAAAAGAAAAGAAAACAAAGCGAGTTAACATAAAAGACAAACAACATATTAAATTATCAAAAATACAATGAAACAAAATTAGTTTGATAAAATATTATATAAAATTCAATTCTGATATTTTTTTTCTTACGATATATGACAATTTCCATCCAACATAATGATATGTTACGATAATTTTTGATCTATGATTGATTTATTCATTCAATATGAACAAAATGAAATTTCAACTAATAACATCTTTCAAAATATTCAATTTTGGTTTAAAAAAAAAAAAAAAAAACAGAAAAACCGATTATTGTTAAAATTTTTTCAAATCACCAATCAAAAATTGACTTCACTTCATTGCTAAGTTTACCATTCGATTCTAAACGTGGACTGTTATCAGCGTAAAATTGATTATACCAACGTCGATGCTTTAAAATTGGACCATCATTTTTGGTTAATAATGGTCGTTTCATGTAACATTTATGATTCCAAATGCAAATATCACGTTCAAACTGAAATTAAGAAATTTAAAATTTTGAAAAAAAAGAGTGCACAATTAAAGATTATTATATCAAATTTAATTTAATTTATTATTTATTTATATATTCCTTTTTTACATTGTTTTTTTTTTAAAAAACTTTATTAAATTGCTATTTGTTAACATTCATTTCCTTATTAACTACTTACAATTAATTATTCGAAAAACGAAAATGAAAAGGGAAATATGCAAATAAATTAACTTACGTGAAAAAATTAGGAAAATAGATTGACTTATGTGTGAAAAATAATATGTAAATAAATTAACGTACGTAAAAAAATGTAAACAAATTAGCTGACGTGAAAAAATGTCTGTAAACAAATTAATTTGCTTGAAGAAACCACGTAAATAAATTCGCTTACATGAATTGCTTCACAAAGTAGAAAGAAATTAGCATATAATTTGGGAAGATTTGAATACATTACAAAACGTGTACGTTGAAATAGTGGTTCTTCAGGTGTAACATGTTGTAAGACGACTCCACGTCCAAGCCAACCAAAATCAAATATCATATGAACGATACCTGGGCCTATCTAGAATATTTTACAAACTGATACTGATGACAGATATGACTGATAAGTAAAATAATCATCTAAAATAATCTCAACTATCGCTTTGGAAATAGAATTGATAAAAAATGTATTGTTTCAACATAAATATTGCGACAAAATTTCTTAAATTCACGAAAAAATTATAAAACTTTGCAAAATTATTTAAATTCTTTATCATTTGCGATTGCTTTTTGATCTATTCTTTTTTAAATGTCACTTATTTTGGTGATAATCAATTAATGCTATTTCTTTCACTGATAATCGGATAATTAAATTTCAGAAAATGAAGTTTAATAAAGTGGAAAGAAATGAAATTTAGTGTTGCACTTTTCTCAAAAAAAAAATCTTAAAATGATAAGTATGCATTGATTTAAATGATAATGTTTAGTTAAAAATCATTCAAACTATTCAATTTGTGAATAAAGATTATTGCGAAAAATTTGATTGAAGCTTCGAAAGCTTCTTTTCTTCGTCAGAATTTGATTAATGATAAATTTCAAAATAAATTCTTAAATATTAAACTTTATCAAAAAAATGCTTTCAATTTTTTTGTAATTCATCAAATAATAATTACAATATTAAGTTAAATTTTAAATGGAAAATGTTGCCTTTGAAGATTAAATTTCAAAATAAATGCTTGAGTTTTAAATTTTTATCAAGGAAAAAAACTATTTAATCATTTCACCTTTTAAAGGGACTACAATTCAAGTGATACAATTATAATTATCTTAGCATATCACAAATTGCCCCGAACACAAGGACAAAAAAAGACTTTTATCTTGGGAATAACCTGTCGTGCTTG